ATATCCTCCTTTCCAACAGCAATTTTTTTGAGTTCGATATCAGTTACAAGTGGATGCTTGTGAGGTGAATTGCGATATGCAATAATGAAAAAGCTGAAGAGAACAAATGACGCTATACCGTGGCTGTAATAAATGTACGGCCATTGATAATGCGAGCATATGTAGCCACCAGAAGGCATCGTTACTGCTGGCGATACTTGGAAGAACGATACCAAGACCGAGATAAACAGACCGCTCTGGAAATGCTTGGTGCTGTCTCACTTCATTGCCACTTTCTCATTGACGTAGAGGGAGATCCGTCCTAGCAATCCCACATATGCCAAGCACACAATAATGTATGCACTACCTGTTTCATATAGCTCCACTTGTTCAGGAAATTCCCAATAACTGAGAAGTTGGCAGCATATGCAATTCCTTGCAACGTCCGAACAGCAACAAAGCAATAGAGATCGAAACGAGCGGCCACTGGGATCGCCGTTGTGGCAAATGCGGATAAAAGACCCAGCAAACCAAATACCATCCGAATCCCATAACGACTGATCAACCAGATTGTTGGAAAATGGGCTATCTGGAGATTTCATGAGCTTGCATCCCGAGCTCATACACATGCAACGTTCGTGCCAAAATTATACTTGAGTCTAATTCATACAATCCCGACTGAACGCCGAAAGAGGTCAAAGCACTAAAAGTAAGCCCCAGAAATACTGAGATTTTTTTAAGGGGTTAGAAAAAACACTGTTTGCTTATTGTTTCCTAAAACAGTATTTCATGTTCGGCTTTATTATGGCTACTTGAAAATGACTTTCGAAACATGTAAGCTTTTCGCACCTCTAGACACCGACCACTAGTCTGTCGACTGATTATTATGCTAAGATCAACCATTTTCTCCTATTCCATCTATTTTACGAGGGTATTATTACGTAAAATAATAAGCGACAGTGCAGACATGTGTTTTCCCTGGTTCCGTTCAACAGTAAAATTGTTAAAACTAATGAGTAGTCGCTGCTTTACAATCTGATATGTTTGCAAAATAAAGCCATCGGCTGAGCCAGTGCTGATACAACGCGGGACCTCGTGAAATTTCAATTTTCTAGCACCTCTTATCATCATCGTGAAAGGAGGAAGTCAATAATTTTGCAAATGAAAGTTTGGACATTTGTATATAGGAGCTGAAAGCTCATTTTGTGCTTGCGGGCCGGCACATGAAGAGCGTACAGCTATTCAAATTGGGACACTTTGCGAGCACTGTCCTAACTTGAATCTTCATTTGCATTTTTGCGGAATCTAGGCGTGCCTCAATGTTGAATTATTTGGGTTGCACACGGGCAGGTAACGTCCTCATAAAACTTCAGCTGACTTGTTTAATTGGTTCCCAAAGTCGATCTTCGTTAAAATGGACTTCGTTGCGATCGTAAG